CCCTAAACCCTAAACCCCAAACCCTAAACCCTAAACACCCGCCCAAACAAGCCCTCAAGCCTCTCGAACCGCCTAAGGCTCACAGTGCCGGGCTTCGGGCACTTAGGGGTCTCAGGCCCTAAGCCTCCTCGACCCACCCCTAAACCCTAAACCCTAAACCCTAAACCCTAAACCCCGGATCTTCAACCCTAAACCCTAAACCCTAGCCCTAAACCCTAAACCTCCGAACCCAAAAGCCCCCTGAAAGCCCCCAAGCCCTGCCCGTTCCGGGGCGAGACCTGGAGCGCTTCCGGCGCTTAGACGCCTCTGCAGTCTTCCGGGTGCCTTCGCAGCAGGTGGGGTTTAAGGGGGTTCAGGGGTTTGGGGTTTAGGGTTTAGGGTTTTAGGGTTTAGGGTTTTAGGGTTGTAGGGTTTTAGGGTTTTAGGGTTCTAGGGATTTGGAGTTTTAGGGTTTAGGGTTTTGTTTTAGGGTTTTAGGGTTTTAGGGTTTTAGGGTTGTAGGGTTTTAGGGTTTTAGGGTTTTAGGGTTGTAGGGTGTTAGGGTTTTAGGGTTTTAGGGTTGTAGGGTTGTAGGGTTGTAGGGTTTTAGGGTTTTAGGGTTTTTGGGTTTTAGGGTTGTAGGGTTGTAGGGTTTAAGGGTTTTAGGGTTTTAGGGGTTTCGAGTCTTTTAGGGTTTAGAGGCTGGAATTTAGGGCTTTTGGGGGGATTCTGGGGCTTGAGAGTTCTTAGGTTTATGTGTTGTGTAGGAGATTGTCCTAGTAGCTGTGCATGTTATCTCGAGCTCTGATCTGACGGCTTTGGCAATTGCGAGACAGGCAGCGCAAGACATAGTATTGCATGCGTGAGACCTGAGCTCTCAGTACGAAGACTTCTGAGATGTCTTAAACAAGGAGTGAGAAATGCCGTTCAAAGGGTGCTGGTGCACCTTGGCTGGCTTGGCTCAACCGGGGCCCAGCTCTCAACTCACGCGTTTGGCGAGATCGATGAACTTCTTCTTTGCCGCATCCGTGGCCATGCCCTTGACCTTGTTCCACGCCTCCCACTTGGTTTTCTTCTTCACGTCGGAAAACCCTGGACGTTCGAGAGTGATGTCTCCCTCTGTCGCCTGCTTGTAGTAAGCGTAGGCATCCATCCTCTGTTGGTTCGTCAACTTGCTTTGGTCGGCGCGCTTCATCTTCTCCTGCGCGGCTTGGAAGTCGGATTGGAGATCCAGGTTGATGAACCCGCCGTGCTTGGCCACGACCTGGTCAGAAGCCTCAGGCTTGGTGCTAACATGTCCTCCCTTGCAACAAGACGCTCTACACCAGGTTTGTCTTAGGGTAGTTACACGGTCCCTTAGTGTGGGCCCTGAACAGGGGACCTCTTTTATGCACCCCCTTACATACCCTATACAACCCAAGGCCCAATACTTCAGAACCCTTTTGAGGAGGCAGGGGACCATACTATGGGCCCATAGAACTACCCTTAGAGGGCTACATGGAGGTTCAGGGTACTGATTAACCAATTATCGCTGTACTTATAACCCCACTAATAAGCCCCTCAAGTGCCCCAATACGGTGATCATTTGGGCTTCAAGTGCAGCTATTCTTGGTTGAATAAGTACCATGAACCTTCAAGTACAGCACTCGCTCTCTCCGAGTCATGCGGCCGTGCTTGTGCTCAGTGTGCTGAGGCCGACCGCTGCCAGCATGAGCATGGCAGCCACCACAGCCACGACCTTGACCTTGGGGAATTCGCGGCCGGGCGCCTGTTCCTCCTCAGAAATTGGGGGGGGGGGGGGGGCCTTAGCGTAGATACCCAAAATAGTACGTCCTCATGGTTAGGAACAACCAAAATAGGCAACCCCCACCCCAACCATTTTCGGAAACCCCCAGGAGCCGGAAAGGAAAAAACCCTAAATCCTAAACCCTAAACCCTAAACCCTAAACCCTAACCCCCAAACACCAAAACCCTAACCCTAAACATCTGGGGACAAGATCTGACCAGTGGGGCAGATGGAAGCGACTCGGCGGGACAGGGCCCTACACGATGAATCCGCCCCTTCTTACTCACAGGGTTTAGGGTTTAGGGTTTAGGGTTTAGGGTTTAGGGTTTAGGGTTTAGGGTTTAGGGTTTACGGTTTAGGGTTTAGGGATTATGGTTGCAACTTGGCAGTTGGTTTGTGATTTCAAAGTACTAGGTTCCCAAAAACCAATTCTGGCCAACTGGGTTGGATCTTGTGCACACCGAGGCTCGCATTGGCTTGATTCCTCATCGAAGAGTTCGTTCTGGATTTCGGCCATGGGTCACCAGAAGGAAGAAAGAACCGAGCTCACAAGAAACCACCAGGGCACACAGGTTAAAACGGCTCTCGGTCATTGGGGGATGCTGTCCGGAGCGCACTCCGGCGTAGACGCGTCAGGGCTTCAGCATCAACATGCAGCCTGCTTGAGAACGCTGAACCTCAAATCCCAGCCTTTCAGGGGTCACCCTAAACCCTAAACCCTAAACCCTAAACCGGTTCGTGAGAGAAGCCATTCCATAACCCCTCCTAATTTGGGTTTCGGGTTTAGGGGTTAGGATTCAGGGGTTTAGGGGTTTGGGTTTTGGGGCTTTGGGGTTTGGGGGTTTTAGGGGTTTGGGGTTTTAAAGGTTTAGGGGTTGGGGTTTAGGCGCTGTGTAAGGGGTGTGGGGGTTAGAGGTTAGGGGGACATTCAGCGTTTTTTGGGGGATTTTGGGGAGGGTCTAGGTCTAGGTGCTATGCAAGAGATTTCAAGCCTCCATGTTCACAAATGGCATGTTCTCTCGAGCTCTGATCTGACGGCTTTGGCAATTGTGAGACAGGCAGCGCAAGACATAGTATTACATGCGTGAGACCTGAGCTCTCAGTACGAAGACTTCTGAGATGTCTTAAACAAGGAGTAGAAATGCCATTCAAAGGGTGCTTGTGCACCTCGGCTGGCTTGGCTCAACCGGGGCCCAGCTCTCAACTCAGGCGTTTGGCGAGATCGATGTATTTCTTCTTTGCCGCATCCGTGGCCATGCCCTTGACCTTGTTCCACGCCTCCCACTTCATTTTCTCCTTCGTGTCAAACATCCCTGGCTTTCTTACGTAGATGTCTCCCTCCACCGCCTGCTTGAAGTAAGCGTAGGCATCCAACTTCTGTTGGTTCGTCAACTTGCTTTGGTCGGCGCGCTTCATCTTCTCCTGCGCGGCTTGGAAGTCGGATTGGAGATCCAGGTTGATGAACCCGCCGTGCTTGGCCACGACCTGATCAGAAGCCTCAGGCTTGGTGCTAACCTCCCTTGCAACAAGACGCTCTAAACCAGGTTTGTCTTAGGGTAGTTACACGGTCCCTTAGTATGGGCCCTGAAAAGGGACCCCTTTTATGTACCCCCTTACATACCCTATACAACCCAAGGCCCCATACTTCAGAACCCTTCTGAGGAGGCAGGGGACCATATTTTGGGCCCCTAGTAGAACTACCCTTAGAGGGCTACATGGAGGTTCAGGGTACTGATTAACCAATTATGACTGTACTTATAACCCCACTTACAAGCCCCTTAAGTGCTCCAATACGGTGATAATTTGGGATACAAGTGCAGCTATACTTGGTTGATAAGTACCACCTACCTTCAAGTACAGCTCTCTCTCTCTCTCTCTCTCTCTCCGAGTCATGAGGCCGTGCTTGTGCTCAGTGTGCTGAGGCCGACCGCTGCCAGCATGAGCATGGCAGCCACCACAGCCACGACCTTGACCTTGGGGAATTCGCGGCCGGACGCCTGTTCCTCCTCAGAAAATGGGTGGGGGGGGGGGGGGGGGCGGGAAACCTTTAGCGTAGATACCCAAAATAGTACGTCCTCATGGTTAGGAACACCCAAAATAGGCAACCCCCACCCCAACCATTTCGGAAACCCCCAGGAGCCGGAAAGGGAAAAACCCTAAATCCTAAACCCTAAACTCTAAACCCTAAACCCTAAACCCTAAACCCTAACCCCCAAACCCCAAACCCTAACCCTAAACATCTGGGGACAAGATCTGAACAGTGGGGCAGATGGAAGCGACTCGGCAGGACAGGGCCCTACACGATGAATCCGCCTAGCTTAGGGCTTAGGGCTTAGGGTTTAGGGTTTAGGGTTTAGGGTTTAGGGTTTAGGGTTTAGGGTTTAGGGTTTAGAGTTTAGAGTTTAGGGTTTATGGTTGCAACTTGGCAGTTGGTTTGTGATTTCAAAGTGCTAGGTTCCCAAAAACCAATTCTGGCCAACTAGGTTGGATCTTGTGCACACCGAGGCTCGCATTGGCTTGATTCCTCATCGAAGAGTTCGTTCTGGATTTCGGCCATGGGTCACCAGAAGGAAGAAAGAACCGAGCTCACAAGAAACCACCAGGGCACACAGGTTAAAACGGCTCTCGGTCATTGGGGGATGCTGTCCGGAGCGCACTCCGGCGTAGACGCGTCAGGGCTTCAGCTTCAACATGCAGCCTGCTTGAGAACGCTGAACCTCAAATCCCAGCGGTTCAGGGGTCACCCTAAACCCTAAACCCTAAACCGGTTTGTGAGAGAAGCCATTCCATAACCCCTCCTAATTTGGGTTTCGGGTTTAGGGGTTAGGGTTCAGGGGTTTAGGGGTTTGGGTTTTGGGGCTTTGGGGTTTGGGGGTTTTAGGGGTTTGGGGTTTTTTAAGGGTTTAGGGGTTGGGGTTTAGGCGCTGTGTAAGGGGTGTGGGGGTTAGAGGTTAGGGGGACATTCAGCGTTTTTGGGGGGATTTTGGGGAGGGTCTAGGTCTAGGTGCTATGCAAGAGATTTCAAGCCTCCATGTTCACAAATGGCATGTTCTCTCGAGCTCTGATCTGACGGCTTTGGCAATTGTGAGACAGGCAGCGCAAGACATAGTATTACATGCGTGAGACCTGAGCTCTCAGTACGAAGACTTCTGAGATGTCTTAAACAAGGAGTAGAAATGCCATTCAAAGGGTGCTTGTGCACCTCGGCTGGCTTGGCTCAACCGGGGCCCAGCTCTCAACTCAGGCGTTTGGCGAGATCGATGTATTTCTTCTTTGCCGCATCCGTGGCCATGCCCTTGACCTTGTTCCACGCCTCCCACTTCATTTTCTCCTTCGTGTCAAACATCCCTGGCTTTCTTACGTAGATGTCTCCCTCCACCGCCTGCTTGAAGTAAGCGTAGGCATCCAACTTCTGTTGGTTCGTCAACTTGCTTTGGTCGGCGCGCTTCATCTTCTCCTGCGCGGCTTGGAAGTCGGATTGGAGATCCAGGTTGATGAACCCGCCGTGCTTGGCCACGACCTGATCAGAAGCCTCAGGCTTGGTGCTAACATGTCCTCCCTTGCAACAAGACGCTCTAAACCAGGTTTGTCTTAGGGTAGTTACACGGTCCCTTAGTATGGGCCCTGAAAAGGGGACCTCCTTTATGCACCCCCTTACATACCCTATACAACCCAAGGCCCAATACTTCAGAACCCTTTTGAGGACCATACTATGGGCCCATAGAACTACCCTTGGAGGTCTACTTGGAGGTTTCAGGGTACTGATTAACCAATTATAGCTGCACTTATCACCCCACTTACAAGCCCCTTAAGTGCTCCAATGCGGTGATAATTTGGGCTTCAAGTGCAGCTATACTTGGTTGAGAAGTACCACCTACCTTCAAGTACAGCACTCTCTCTCTCTCTCTCTCTCTCTCTCCGAGTCATGAGGCCGTGCTTGTGTTCATGGTGCTGAGGCCGACCGCTGCCAGCATGAGCATGGCAGCCACCACAGCCACGACCTTGACCTTGGGGAACTCGCGGCCAGGCGCCTGTTCCTCCTCAGAGGGGGCAACCCTTTTGTATTCCCCAAAATAGTACATCCTCAGTATTACGAACACCCAAAATAGGCAACCCCGCTGATGGCCGGAAAGGGAACACACCTGGGGACAAGATCTGAGGGGCAGATGGAAGCGACTCGGTGGGACAGGGCCCTACACGATGAATCCGCCCCTTCCTAATCACAGGGTTAGGGTTTAGGGTTCAGAGTTTAGGGTTCCTCATGAGAGATCAGTTACCCAAAAACTAGTTCTGGCCAACTGGGTTAAAACTTGTGCACACCGAGGCTCGCATTGGCTTGATTCCTCATCGAAGAGTTCGTTCTGGATTTCGGCCAT